TTTAATTAATTGAAAAGAATTTAAAATTACCTTTCAAAAATATAGCACACTTGATATTTTGTTATAATCCCTTTTCAAATACAGAATTTTTAAAGTTCGCCACTTTTAACTAGTAGGCTTTGGACACCTTTATTGATGATATGCCTTTAATGGAACTCCAGAAAACATATTTTCCAGGAAGACGACGGACGCACCGCCTCCTGAACGCTGGAATTTTTGCAGCCAATTTCAAGAATAATTGAATAGCTAACCAAGATTTCCAGCCGTTGGCCGTCGAGGCCGCCTGACTTAGTGTCCATGGATCTAATCATATGGATATATTTGCGGAAGAATAAAGGTTCATTATTCTTCCGTATAATCTAGACAAAATTAGAAATACTTAGCAGTTATGAGAGGGTATCTTTCACTCCCACTGAGTTAATGAATTCCGCGAGAAAAGTTCAAAAAACTACCCCGTCTGTCATAACAGAAGACGGTTGATATGTCGAACACCTGTAGCAAAAATTTCATGTCTTGGTTTGCTATTTATTTTAATGTTATTAGATATAGTTTAAATGTGTTGATGTTGGTTAAATATATTTTAAATTGTTTATAAAATTCTGCATCTCTCACAGCAAAATATTATTTTGTTTTAATTGATGCTTACAGCTAGAATTTTTTTGCATTACAGCCGGTGCCGTTCAAAGCCTACTTATTTAAAGCGGGCGAATTTTTATATACTCTATATCTCGAAGAGGAATCGAGCAAAATATCAAGTGTGTTATATTTTTGGAAAGGTAATTTGAAATTCTTTTCAATAAATTACAAATATACAGGGTGTCTCATATAAAAAATCAAATTTTCTGTTGATAATTCTTAAATTATTAATTTTAAAAAAAATTATACTTAAACCATTAAATTCTGCGTAAAAGAGGTGCTTTGGAAATATTTTCATAAAAATACAAAATTTTCCATAGCAAAAAAGTTACAGCGATTTGTTAAAATGCACCATTTTTTGAAAACACCCCGTAACTCCGAAACGGTAACAGAATATCGATATGCGGTTTTCACCATCATGTTTTTGACAAAATTGAGCTCCAGACACCGATATTAGTTTTTGTCTATCTCCTATAGAAAAGGGTGTATCCATTTAAAAGCGTCGAATTTGACCCACCCTGTACATGCAGGGTGACTAAGTCTGTGACCGAAAAATTATTTTTTTTCTGAATTATTTTGATAATATTTTTGTCAACGAGCACGTATTACCTTTTTAAATTATTAGAAACGTTATTTACGCTACATTTTCTACTAATATGTTTTTGAGATCAGTATGCTAATTAATGCCAAACTCTTATGCCGGGTCCAGACCAATCAGACAAAACAACGACAAGACAGAAACATTCAGGTTTTACGACAAAATTGCGACAAATTCAGTACATTTCTGTGACATTTTTGTCTCATTTTTGTTTTGTTTCAAAATTCGGAAACTTTTCAATGTCCCGTCTCGAGTCGGTAAAGATCAGAGTGTCTATGTTTTTTTCGTATATTTTACGACAAGTTGTCGGCGCAGTGTGGATGGCGTGTGCTGCCAACAGTAGGAGACCAGTAAAATCACACATGGTTAATAAAACTCATGCGCAACAACTAAACTTTTCACTTTGTACTTTTGTCCTTGCGGTGTGGACAATTTGTCTTGTCAGACTTTTCCCCATTTTTTGTGGCAAGTTTGTCTTGTTTTCTGAAAATCGAGTTTACTTTTTGTCGTCTTGTACAAGTACAAAATCCGAAAAATAAATACATAATACAGGAAATGCATAAATTGCGATTTTAATCGGTAAGAAAGCTCTAAGTACGAAATTTTTTAAATGCACATTTCTTGTCAAATTTTATTAAATAAACTACAGCATTTGAAACGCAAGGAGAAATCAAATCAGCCTTGTAACGAATTCGTCCATTAGGTTGCGTATTTTCCAAATTCTTTCAATCAACCTTGATATGATACTCACTGCACCACCTCAACTCAAGGCCAATCAACATGATATGGGCAAGGCATATATGGCGGCGAAGGCAGCGCATTATTAAATTGTTCACCTTTAACCTGAAAAGCCGGTAGTGGTTTCTCGTTCCGATTGCATACCAGAAAAGGTAAGAACTAGAAGTATTTATCAAGATATTACACCTAAATGAGTAAACCGCCAGTCTACATAGTACTTTATAATGGTTACTTACAATAATCAAAAGATAGATATGAAAGGGTTAACATTTTATTGTAGCATACCTTTTACATGATCTGTTCCAAATTGTCACGGGAATTATAGAGGGGGTCCCAAGGTTTCTGCTTTTATATTCCGCAAAAATGACGTACTTCGTAGAAAATGGTTGACAGCTATTAAAAGAGATAATTTCACTCCTACTAGTAGTTCTCGGGTGAGAAAATTGCCTGGAAACTTATATGGTGAAATTTTGATAAAATAATTTAGTACACACTAAAAACACGATATGTCGCTTGTGGTAGGAGAAATAATTTTTAGAGGTTACTAGTTTATTTGGTTGCCTGTGATATGCATATACAGGGTATTTCCTAATTAATCTAAAAGAAATCGTTAGAAAACGGATTAAGGCGGGCTCTTAATAAGTATATTTATTTTTTTCTCGACAACCGTTTGATGAACAAGAAAAACTCAAAAGATCAATCTTGTTGAAAAAGAATGGCCAGTCAAGAAAAAATATATTTTCTTTAAAAAAGCAGTGGTGTACCATTTATGTTAAGCAAAAAAAATCGATTTTTTTAAATTTTTAACACCCTGTAGATCAGAAAGGAAGTACTGGTAGACCCAATAGATATATAAAAATTGTTTAAAGAACACATGAGGAATCACACCACAATTTTTTTAGACTAATTAGAAAATACCCTGTATATTGTCAACTTGACAATGATTGCTGATAAATCAAAAAGCCACCTTTTCAGTAGAAATAAGCCCGATTTTCGCAGGAAAAATTTTGATTTTTATTGAATTTGGGCCTGCGTCTGCAAATACCGGTTTCTTATTTAATTTTCTATCTATCTAAATTTTAAATATCATAGTCGAAACTAGTTTATTATTTATTAACTGTAAAAATGGTGTTTTCTTGTTGGTGCATCTTGCAAAAGAAACTAACGAAAACTGCAAAAATGCACGTGTTTCAAAAGACGAGGTATATAAAAAAGAAAAATATGGTATGTATTCGTTGTTTGATTTTTTTGTTCGCTTTAAAATCTATAAATCTCGGTCTATTCACAATAATCGACTTACGATCATTTACATGAAACTCTGTAAAATAAATAAAAAATAAACTGTAAATATATTATATTCTTATGTTTTTATTAAAGTTACCTAAGGACCTTATATATCAGTGTAGCTTTAAAAATAAATCTTTGAATTCAAATATAAACATAAAAAACATTTACAGCAGAAAAAGGCAGGCGCTGGGTAAAACGTTTCATATCTATCTTAATAGTAGATTATTTTCTTTTATCTATGGATGAAGTGCATTAAATATGCCTCAAAAACGCCAAAGCCTCTGTTACCCTAGTGAAGATGTAGTTGGCTACCTGTACACTTACTTTCACTATAAGTAAAATTATTGGAAGAAGAATCAAGCTTTTTACATCAAAAGACCACAGAAAGATATTGACAACATTGACATTTGGAAATATAAATGGCCCTGTGTAAGTCTTTTTAGGTCACAATTGCCCCTCACATACGTCAAATTATTATTAAATCCATCTTGTTCAGAATAATCAATATTTTTACTGAAAAACTATGCAAAAAAGGAATGACGTCTTTACCACAAGACAATGCCCTATGTAAGCAAGAAAACTAAGCTAAGCGTAAGGTTTACTTACGAACCCCCAAAAAGGTATTTAGTTTTTCTCTATATATAAAATCTTGAAACACATATTATACAGGGTGTCCCAAATAAGTGCAAATATTTTTAAGGGGTGGTAGATCTGGTCAAGAAACATTTCTTCTCTTTACCATTTTTCAGATAAGAAGTTCAAAATATCCGAGGATTTTACTTTTTGTAACTTTGTGAGAACCACTGGATTTTTTCTGGATTTTCTTTCATGTAAATTTAATATACTACCTCTGTTGCCATTATCCAAGAAATTATGCTTTTAACCAAAACTAAAAAAATTCCAAAAATTTTTTCAAAAATTACAAATTCTTAATTTTTTTGCAAAAAAACTTATAGGCGTGTTTCTGATGCCGAAATATACTACCAGTTAAAATATTTGCGCATTTCTGGGACACCCTGTAGTTTTTTAATTTCCTCACTAATATAATAGTTAATTTATTCCATTTATTGTAATTATTGCTGCAATACATAGAAAAATATTCATATTTTTTTGATCAAAAAAACCAGTGTAGTTTATAATTCCAGAGCATTTACGAGAAACTAACTAAGACAAGTAACTTCCCTATACTCTCCATAATAGTATATATTTATCAAACGTTCAGTAAATTCTAAACTATGGTAGGTAAGTGTTTGCAATTTGAGAATATTTAGTTTTATATTGCTATTTTCTGTCATATATTTCTGGTTATTTCTTTTTTCCGATTATTTTGAATACCTATATATGCTACCTCAAGTTTGAATATTTTAACACTACCTATTTTTCTGACAAAGTAGTCCTTTTTATAAAAGCAACTAACCGATGTTTTTCATAAAAGTAATAATACAAAAAAATTCCATACTTATGTGGAGAACTTTGCCCTGTATATATTAAAAATGAGTGAAATATTATTAGTAATTTAACCGGATTTGCAGTTAGTAATCTAACCCGACATTTATTATTGGAAAATGTCTATTTGGGGAAAATAAAAGCAAGGGTTTAAAATACTCGCCAAATAAAAGCACTTTATCTCCGCCATATTGGAAAAGGTTGAGAATGGCCTTGTGTGGAGAATTGGTGGGTGAGGTACTCATCAGTACTATATCAACCTGATACCTATAAAAAACTAATATAACTTATAATCTTAGCAGACGTAGATCTTAGCAATAAGTTCGAAATATATCCAAGAACCAAGTCCATTTATGACTGTCTAAAAATAAATGATTTTATGTAGTTTATTTTCACTACAAACACCAGAATTCCGCTTCTAATATACCTTGCATATTTTTTTTCTCTCACCGAAAAATATTACAAACCAAAAATAAACCGCCGAAAAATTTCTCATGCTTCCTCCAATTCGTGGCTTCATCTACGAGATTAATAAATAAACAAAAAAATAATGTTAATTGATTTATGACTGGGTAAAATCATCGCTGTTAAGAAGCCGTTGAAATATGCATATTAGTGATTTTCTTTCATATTTAAGTTTTTTTATCGATTTTTCTGTTAAATTGTCGGAAATCCCCAGAGACTTTGGTGTGTTTGTTGATGAATTTGTCATGGGCTGCATTCTTTAGATCTGTGATTTATGAGTTTATTATTTTATTATTTAAGCATACGTGAAGTAAATAAGTGTGTTAGTATTTGTTATTAAATTTTATAGGTTCTTATCTTATACAGGGCATTTCAAAAAACATGTGCTATCTCTCGTGGGGAGATTCCTCACGTAAATATAAGATTTATTTTTTTATCTCCTATGTTTCGTAGGTCCATTTAAGAAAACATAACAGTAGTTCATATCTTTAAAAATATTCTTTTCGTAGAATAACAGACTACGCCACTGTATTCTACGTAAAAAGTTCTACAATAAACATTTTTCACCTTCTCGATACCATTAAGAATAACAGAGATACAGGGAGTGTCCCAAATTGAACCTGTAGCTCAGAAACGAACTGGGCTATGAAGATTGTGTTTACGGCATCTTCCATTTGACAAAAAAGTGGGACAGGTTTGTGCAAACCGCACCCTTCTATCTTCACTAATAACGCAGATACCGTATGATTTCAACCAAAATGGGACACCCTGTACTGTGACATATGGTGTAGAGGTTTGGGAGGCGACAGAATACATGAAAAGGAGACTGCTTGCAATGGAAATGAGATATGGTGCTGTAAACTAACTCTACTAGACAAAGTGAGAAACGACAAATAAGAGAACGAATAAACATAGCAACAACTTTTTATAGATATAGCAAACAAATTAAGATGGGTATAGGCACGTTTGCAGAATGGAGAATACGAGATGGCTTAAAAAGAATTCTGAATTCCAGACTCGCCAGAACATTAAAGAAGGAAGACCAGACAAATTAGCGAGATGGTGTAGAGTCTGCAATGCGAAACAAAGATCTAAATGCAGAAGACTGACGAGATCGAGGGCGATGGGGACTAGGATGCGGAAAACGACAAAATGTTGTAATCTAAATCGCAAATAGATATACAAGAGACCTATTTTTTTAAGTTTTACATTTTTTAAGTTTTACAGTTTTGCTTCCAACGACAACTTTCTATCATTCATAATACTTACAATATTTTGGAATAAAATTAATTTTACCTGCCACCAATTTCCAAATTCCCAGTAATAAAAACACGGCTTCCTGTTACATTCTCTTACATCTGCGGGTTTGTTTTTAGCACATTTTGTGGGGTTGACCATATATTTCCAAGGATTAGCAAGTATGGCGCTAATATTGTTGACTGTACCAAATAAAGACTCTGGAACACAATAGATTTCTCTGTACTGAAGTCCATTACTACCGCAAGTTTGGCTACAAGGTTCCCAATCTCCTGGTACCCATTTAAAATCACATCTGTAAAATAAATGGTCCAAGTTACCGTATGACCGCAAAATAAACAGCGTCAAAACTGGCAAAATATATATTAACTTATATAATATATGATAAAGATTGTTTATCTTAGATAATATGTCTTATGATAAATATTAGAATATGTTAATCATTTAACATAAATTTACATTAGCTGCTTGCATTTCATTGTATATTTGAAATAATTTAATTTATTTACCCAAATTTATTGCAAGATTCAACTTCTGTTACAGGTTTCTGTATCAACGAGCAATACTTCCGCTTCACCAACTTGTCCTGTTGATTGTCCCAGCACGCCACTGTCTTTTGACGTCTACCACCACCACAGCTTGCTGAACATGGTCCCCAGCCGCCCATGATCCAGACAAATCGTTTTGACGGTAAGAGAAAATCTTTTTGTATGGAGTATTGAGTGTTGTATGTTATGTTGATTTTATTGGAAATGTTCTTTTCTGATGATATCAACTAAAAATAATAATGACGATTAGGATTTAGTTTAGTTCACACTTGATAACGGTCAGTGATACTTCTGACCGAAACGGTGTGTAAGCAAAATAAATAAACAAAATGGAAGTCCAAGGAAGACCTTTTAGTTTTAATACTGAATCATTGTCTACCACATTCAAAGTAATATGATAAGTCATTCTATTCAATATATGAGTGTCATTTTATTTATTCAATATATGAGTGTCAATATATGGGTGTAATACCACTACCATTGCACTTTAGATTAAAATTAATATTTTTACTTTAGATTAACATTTAAAATACTACTGAAGTGAAAATATCAAAAGTTGACATAATATGATACGTAATTCTATTCAGAATGTTATTTTCTATCAAATAAGTAAAAAATACCGAGTGTATCATTAAAAAATCTTTTTTGTTAGTCATTTTGAGTGCAACAGGAAGTGACCGAAAATAATTGAATACGTCAATCAGTCCTGATTTATGCCATATACTTACATACCAAATCTCGTTTTTTATTAAAAAAAGGTTATAGGGGAGAGGCATTTTTTAAAATCACCCAGTATATCTATGAAAGTAGGCTTACCATAATTATTGTTTCAGCTAAAATAGGACCGAAGCCCCATAACTTATACAATCTTCCAATTCTATTGTAAAAGAAGTTGACACCATCTACAATTTTAGAGTGTATCGACGTGTTCGGCACTGCCACAATGTATCCTTTTTTTCTTCTATTTTTTAGTACGAAAGCTAAACTGGATTTTCCACTACTGTATTCGTTTACTACGGTTTCCAACCTGATCTGCCTTGCCATTTTCGGTAATACAGATATTTTAGTGATTTCTAAAATTACCAATTTCCAAAATTTAGATTTATATGTTGATAGTAGTTAGACTATGGGGTTTCTGGCTCACTAAATACAAGATGGCGGCGGTTTATAAAATTGCTGTTATTTATATTGACTGTCTTTTTTTGCAGTTGATATCACCAATATTGGGTTCTGCCAAACTGTGAAGAAGAAACACATTTTATTTCGATGCGACACTCTGGCAAATGTGGGATTCTCTGCAATAGATAGGCTATTATTCAATCAATTATTCAATCTCTCAGTAATTTTTAATAAGACTTTTTGAAAAGGATAGGACTGGAGAATGGAACCTAAGGATGCGAAGAAGACCACAATAGATCTGAAAAGGCCGAAGTGGATCAGCCCGAACTAGAAGAATCTATTTGTCTAGCTATAACTGGTTTTACAGCCGCTACCGGTTGTGAGTTCCTCTGTAACTATTTTATGAACCGCCACCATCTTGGATTTAGTGAGCCAGAAACGCCCGAGTCTAACTACTAATAATTTTAAAATATAAGGTATTATAATATCATCGCATAATATATTCCATCTCTTCATGCTTTACAGAAAAGAAATTTACTTTTAGCACGTAAATCATACTTATTTTTTCTACATTAGTAAATTTTTAAATGAATGAAATTTTTACATCATCTGTTCCACAAATATCATGGAGATTATCATTTTTAATAAATTTACGCGTGAAATAAGTTGTTAGGGTATAAAAATTGAATTGTTGATTTGGCTTTATTGGTTAGTAACAAAATCAAAAACAAATCGAAAAACACAAAGAAATCCGCAAGAATTCAAATCAAATTCAAATAAGTCAAGTAAAATATAAAAAATTGCGTCTTGATTCCTCCTTTAATGCGCGAATATAAAAATAATATTAAACTCTTTCCATATTTATTTTATTACGTAGTTTACTGAATATACCGGGTTCGTCTCAAAAGTGGCTCACCCCTAGAACTTTTGGTTTTTTTTTTCAGATAAAAAAAATGAGATTTGGTATGTTAGTCTACGACATAAATTAAGATTGATTGACGTATTCAATTGTTTTTGGTCCCTTCCTGTTTTACCTGAAATGACTACAACTTTTGATTTTTAAATGGCACCCTTGGTATTTTTTTACTTTGTTTGATATAAAATGACATTCTGAATGGAATGACATATCACATGTCATATTTTGACATTCTCGTATAATAAAAAATCTAATTTTAATTTTCAATCTAGAGTGCCATGGCTATGCTAAAAACATTAATTCTTAATCAAGAAGCCTTGGAAAAATAGATTTGATCGTCTAATGTTTTTGGAGTCTTGTCCTGGCCGATTAAAAAATTCTCAAATCGTATTTTTTATCATATCTCAATTTGGAACGAGGGTGACTCATTAGCATATTTGGAAAAAGCATTTTTTACGAATAATTTGATGCAACACACTTGGTGTTTCGAATCAAATTTTCGTTACGAACCCCAAGTTATAATTTCAAATAAACCATATACGAAAATGTCAAAAATTGACATATGATATGTCATTCTGAGTGTTATTCTCTATCGAATAAAGTAAAAAAATATCGAGGGTGCAATTTAAAAATCAAATGTTGTAGTCATTTTCGGTGAAACAGGAAGTGACCGAAAACAATTGAACACTTCAATCAATCCTAATTTATGTCACATACTAACATACCAAATCTCGTAGATTGAGCCACTTTTGAGACGCACCCGGTATATGAATATCTGAGTATATATAAAACTACTATATTAAAAATAAGGATGTAATATAGCGACTAACCTCGGAAAAATAGGTATCTTTATAGTAGACTACAAGGAAAAGAAAATGAACTATATATAAAACTTGTAATATACGACTATATCGACGGCGTCACGACAAAAGGGCGTAAGCGCCAAAATAACGAAAATGAGATTATGGTTCCAAAATGTAATACTAATAAATGCGCACCTATCTAGGAAACGGCTTAACCAGCAAAAATTCTTAACGTGAGAAAAAAGACAGTTTTAGTTTCTAACCGCCAATACACCTTCAAACCAGACTCGACACGAAAATCAGTAACCGCCATTCACACGTGTTGGAAGGTCGCTTACGCCTGGGATGAAAAAATACCATTTTCCGTTCAAAGGTACGTAGAAAAACTTATTAATAAGATAGGTCTTATTCATATTTGGTAGCCTAGATTGTTTTTTGTGCTTCAATCTTATTCAAATAGTAAACACCGACATTTATTTGTTATTGTCGGTTACGTCTTTTCGTGTTAATTTATTTGGTTTGCGTAAGCGCCATCCGCCTATGTGATCGTAATGGCATATTTTTTTGCTTTTAACAAAACTACCGTTCAGCAGATTTCAAAAAATTGTCAAATATCTAAATTGTATACAATATTAATTTTCAAAAAAACCTTTGCTACAAGTCAAAGGACTTTTTCTTGATTGTAATAATTGTTTGAAATTTGATTTTTTTGATGTCGCTTAAGCCTTTTTTATATTTTTTCTCCACAGTGTGATAATGACTTCCCGCGGGAAGAAAATCAGAGATTTGGCATTAAAATGTGGAAATCAAGAGGTTGAGGTTGAGAGCAATATCATAGATAATGATCTTCTGGCAGAAGCATTGCAGCATGATGCGCTGTTGGAGTCAGAATTATTCATGTTAGAAGCACCACCTTTTGCCACCAACGAGGAATACGGATCAAGTTCACCCGTGTTTTGCTCAGAATATTAGTTAAATTTAATTTTCCAGTTATTATTTCAAGCCTAATGAGTTTGAAAATATTGAAAGTATCAGTTTGAGTATTTTGTACTGTGTTTTCTTAAAAAATTTAAAAAATCCAAGCGACATTTTTAATTTTATTTGTAAAACTCAAAAGGCGTAAGTGCACCTAAACGACAAAAAATGACTAGAATAATAAGACACAAAAGTCTTAAACGCCTTTCAAAAAGACGTAAACGCCAATCGAGCCTAGAAAGAAAGGCGTAAGCGCCAAATCTTAAAATAACTAATTAACAGTTTATATTTTATAAGCAAAAAATTCTTGAAAAATGTGCCATATAATCTATAATACTGTAGCAAAAAATAATTCACAAAAAATAAAAAATATAGATTTTAGACGTTTTTTTCGTCTCCTGAAAAAAATGACGAATGGCGCTTACGCCCTTTTGTCGTGACGCCGTCGATATAATAATTCACAATCAAAACAAAATGTAAAGATTTAAAAAAGAAATAATATTGAGGACAACGTAAAAAATTACATAAGGCTGTTTTTATAAACCATTTTGGTCAGCTAATAATAAATGAAGGAATTAACTTTTTATAAATATGAACTTTAACCAGTCTAATAAAAATACTAAAATTTAGTAACTTATTTGCTAGTTTGGTACAATTTTCATATTTTAGTACTTTAATTATTACCTCTTTTCAAAACTTTGTGAACTGTAGAATTTGATTTATAACATTCTGATTCGTCACCTCCACATACTCCACAACTATCTCTTGACATAGAGGAATTCAGTTTACCATCGCATCCTACTTGATAACATACTCCCTGAAAATTTTGTACATGCATCATCAAAATCAATAAAAAATACTTTTAATACCTGCACACAAAGATTATCTTGATTTTCGTAAGAACATGGTGTTCCGTCAGGAAGGTTTTCATTGGTCATAAATATTTCTTTTCTTTCATCACTTATGCAGGAAAATTTGCATTTCTGCTCATCTAAACAATAAAATAATTAGATATTAACTAATAATATAATGTTTTATTTATATTATGCACGGTGGCTCCTCTCATACACCGCGGAAGCTCCAAGGAGAGCATATGTAGGTTAATTGAGAGCACTTTTTAAAAATATAGAAAGTTCTACAGAGTGTTCCCAAAAAAGTTACATATCAAAGTGGCGTTTTTTGTAATGGAACACCCTATATATTAATTGATTTTCGGATTCTGGGAGAAAAATAAAGTAATTTTTATAACAGAAGTATATATGACTAAAATGTATATAAGGTTTTTGACAATTTTTAAATTACAATAAAAGATATCTAAATTGGAATTTACCCGGTATAGCCTAATATGTAGCTAAATTAACTATTGTAATTTAAATCAAATTAAAACTTGATCCAAAAAGTTATACAGGATGACACAAAGTTAATATTGAACACTGGTCACCTTTAAAAGCATGTTACTCTTTTATTTTGGAACGCCCAGTATATTATCCGATATTCAATGGATAATTCATGTCTCTTCAAAATACTATTAAAGCTGCCTACCCCTCAAACAAAGATTTCCTAGATATTTTCATTTACATGATTTGATCTGAGTAGATCTTTATTATTTGATAAAATCTAGGTGGCTGGGATATGTCCGACGTTACTTCAACATAGCTGTCTAATTAGTCCAACTTTAACAACTAGTTATCATTTTGTGTCAGTTAAAACAAAAAAATTCTCATAAATTTGCCGAAAATGCAAACTTATCCTACATCAGAGAGAATTGATATGATTCTATTAGTTGGTGAATGCAGTGTGCATTCACCAATTAATAGAATACTTAAATGCTCCTGATTTTATGTTAAAGACAGTGTTTACAAAAGTCGACCAACTATTGTCGACAACATGAGAGAAATTATTGTAGCTGCTTTTCGAGGTAGAACTCCACATATGCCTTTTAAAATGAAAAAATCCTTTTGAAAAGACAATCATTTTATGCAATTAACAGGACAGGAAGCATTTTGAGCATTTGATTTCATCAAGCTAATTTTTGTCATAATATATTATAGGTTTATATCTAGTTTTAATTCTGTAATAATATTTTAAACGTGTATCTTTTTATTACCGTTCAGTATTTTACTATACAATCTTCAATTTTTGTTAAATTAACAAAAGGTATATCACACAGCCGCCTATATTTTTTTTAAATTATAAAGATCTACTGACGCAAAATCATAAAAATTAAAATATCTATGAAAATATCTGTGTGAAAATATTATTAAGGTTGCCTACCCCCAACCTTAATAATATTTTGAAGATATATAAATTCCCCATTGAACACCGGAAAAATATGCTGGGTGTTGGGTGTTCCATTTAAAATAAAGGAGTAACTTGCTTTTAAAAGTGACTAATGTTCCATATTAATTTTGTCTCACACTGTATAACTTTTCGGGTCAAATTTCCGTTTGGTTTAACATACAATGATTACTGTAATTAAATGTCAGGCGACACAAGGTCAACTAAAATTTAGGTAGATATTATCGAAATTTAAATTTAATATATACAGGGTGGCGCACCTCATTCGCCTCGGTTGATTATACGAAAACGGAAAGATGTAGAAACAAAATATTTTATGGGTATATGTGGGGAGTCAATGTGCACAATTTAAAATTATTTTGAAATATACAGGGTGTCTCAGAACTAAGATCCATACCAAAGTTATATTTTTTCTTATGGAACACCCGGTATTTTATTTCATTTTTGGATTTTTGGGCCCAAAAAAAGACATTTATTATAAGGGTTACATATGTTTAAAATCATTGGTTTTCGAGATATTTAAAACTATTTAAATATCCATGCTGCAAGAGAATTGATTATCAATACCCTGTACATTACTTTTCAGAATTAATTCTTGTGCTGAGGTTAAAGGTAAAAAAATAAACTTTACTGAAAAATGTTATTGCTTTCTTAAATTTATACAGGGGTACCAAAAATTAGTTATTTATTTTAAGGATTTATTTTACATAAAAACTTTGTTATTTCAAATGCAACACCCTGTATTTTTTTAAACAAATCGAAGCAGATTTAAATGCTCTTTTAAACTATATTAGGGTTTCCTATACCTATCTATCTCAGATTTTGAGAAAAAAACGATTTTTAAATAAAATGGCAATCAAGATGGCTGGTATCGCCATGGCAATTTTCTAGTGACAGTTAGTAACTATTTTCAAAATCGACATTAGTTTATAGACTTTATTTAAATCTATACCAGTTTACTTTTATTTAATTGACCTACATAGTTTAATAAATAATATTTTTTTAATATGTATTTATTATTCTATCAAGAAAAACGAAGAAGTAGTTCTTTGTTTTATTTTACGATAACTTGTAGATATATGAATTTTTTTATGAGAGCCGAATTACGGCAATTCAATTTCTTCACTTCCAATGACAGGTTTCTGCCTAATAGGTTTTTTATAAACTACACTACCAATTCTGCGAAATAGGAAATAGGACAAGTAATTTTTCAAAGGAACGCTTATCAGGAAGATTGGATATCTTTGAGCATTAGGTCTTGATGATAATTTTCCTCACAAAACAAAATCACTAATAACATATCCATTTGTTCCACCAGCAGATATGGCTTTATTTTTCTTCATAAAATAAAGAATACTTACTTATTAAACTATTGTGGGTAAATTTTAGTAAACTGTTTAAATAATAATGTCCATACACCAATGTCGATTTTGAAAATAGTTACTAACTGTCACTAGAAAATTGCCATGGCGATACCAGCCATCTTGATTGCCATTTTATTTAAAAATCGCTTTTTATTCAAAGTCTGAGATAGATAGGTATAGAAAACCCTAATATAGTTTGAAAGAGCATTTAAATCTGCTTTGATTTATTTAAAAAAATACAGGGTTTTGCATTTGAAATAACAAAGTTTTTATGTAAAATAAATCCGTAAAATAGATCACTACTTTTTGGTACTCCCGTATAAATTTAAGGAAATGTAATATTTTTCAGTAAAGTTTATTTCTTTACCTTTAAACTCAGCACAAGAATTAATTCTGAAAAGTAATGTACAGGGTGTTAATAATCAATTCTCTTGTAGCATGCATATTTAAATATCTTTAAATATCTCAAAAACCAATGATTTTAAACATATTTAACCCTTATAATAAATACTTTTTTTTTGGGCCCAAGAATCCAAAAATGAAATAAAATACCGGGTGTTCCATAAAAAAATATGAATCTTAGGTATGAATCTTAGTTCTGAGACACCCTGTATATTTCAAAATAATTTTAAATTGTGCACTTTGCCTCCCCACATATACCCATAAAATATTTTGTTTCTATATCATTCCATTTACGTATAATCAACCGAGGCGAATGAGGTGCGCCACCCTGTATATGATATACATATATGATATAAGCTTATACTAATTCAGTAAGAAGTAAATAGTTATTACCTAGTATAACATAAAAAAATAAAAAAAAAACATTACCTTGGTCACTTTCATAAGGTAGCCATGTATCAGTGACTTGTAATTCAGGATTAGGAAAAATCTTAGGCAACATTTTGCATTGCTCAGCTCTCAAATCTACATAAGAATTCTTACATGGACCTTTTGAACATATCTGCCAATCTTCAGTTCTGCCTTCACAGGTTTTACCACCATACGATGGTCTGTAAAAATGTAAAAACTTTTACTACTATATTTGCCAAACATGGCTCTTTTTAATAGTAGATTTATAGATATGTAAATTTTTTAAACAGAATGAAACAATCAGAAGATATCATTTAATACGAAGATTAAATAATTAAAATTACTCATTTTGAAAAAGACCAAGTTAGTAGTCGAAACGATATAAAATTACTTTGTTTTATCAATAAATAATAATTAATGGATTAAATTTCTAAAATATTTATTTACACCTGACCTCAAACCAAGAAAATTTACTTAAAATTTATTAAACATACTTTGGATTATCACATTTTCTTGATCGATACTGTATTCCGGTTCCACAAGAACGAGAACATGGTCCCCATGGTCCCCAGGTGCTCCATCCTCCATGTTGGGGGTTTAACACAATCGGAATTTTGCTGATAGTGTCTGTTATTTCACTGCAATATCCGTTGAAACACCACTAAAAAGGAAAAAGATAAATAAAAAACTACTAAACTATTTTTTTATTCATTTTATTAAGTCACCGAACCCGAAGTACCAATTTTATTTAGTATTAATTTCTTTAAAACAAAATAAAACACTAAAACTTGGTGTGTAACACCAAAGGTTCCAACCCTCAACTGTAATTAATTTGTTTGCTTTAAAGTTGCAAACAATAATGAATTATGAAATATCATATAATCAAAAAAACTGCGTCAAAGACGGCTGGGGAATGATAATCGATATTATATAAGTTTGTTATACAGGATGTTTCAATAAACATGTGCCATCTCTCGTAATTTACATAATTACAGGACATTAAAACTTTAAAATTAGGTCTTTTGTAATTTTATTAAATTCCATAATTTTTTCATTTGAATTTGCTGTAGGTTGAACGAATATTAATAACAAATAGTAATAATATTTAATAATAAATTAGATAAAATAAATAATTTGTTAATTTTATTTTAATTTTAATTTATTAATTATGATTAATAAAAATTCGTTTATCTTATCAAGGAGATCGAAATCGGCAAAATAACAAGAATCAACTTTTAATTGGCATTAAACGGCCTATACAATTTTGCTATCAAAACAAAAAGTCAGTAGCGCACATTTTTTTTTTTGAAAAATATTTTAGTGATAATCCATATGCACATCCCTGATGAATCTGCAGGCACTTTTTTAGCATTAAAATATGTCGCATTTATAGTAACTTTTACTCTCAAAATTTTATTCGAATCGCTAAAAGTACTTGGAAGAAAAATATAATAAATAGAAAAAATATTAGGACTTTTACATCCTGTAGCTACGAAACAAAGCAGAATCGGACCTATGTTGATATGAATAATAAAACTTTTTTGAAACACCCTGTATAATATCGGGATTATTTAATACATAATCATGGAAATTTGGAAAAGTATAAACGTGATTAGCCATTTTAGAGCAAGCAAATAATTTTAGGAAGAATGCATTTTTCACAAAATAATGTCAATAATAAAAAAGTTTTTCCTCTTATACATACAGACAATCCATAATAAATAATTATTACTTTCAACAGTTAGTTGTACAGTTTTAGTAGGTTAAAAATATTCCTAACATTTACTAATCTTAATAAATGCTTTATTATCCTGGATTTTATACGTTCTATTAGCAAATAATCCACGTATTTACCCAGGCACAGAACAAAAACAAACAAACAGCATAAAATATGGCTTTTACGAACCTTTCCAAATCCACACTCCGTCCCTTCGAGCGGAGGCCCTTTTTTGGTTTTGCACACAAAAGGATTGTGTTTATGGCCGCACCACAAATGGGAACAGGGTTCGCTCACATCAAAGGCTCGGCACATCGAATATCTATACAGAGACAA